GTGGCTGGCGCCTTAGCCGCTTGAGCCACAGGCGCCGAGCCACACCTGACTATTTTTAGAGACAAGGTCTCGCTCTGGTTCAGGCTGGTCTTGAACCCACCCACCTCGGCAGCCAAAGTGCCAGGATTACAAATTCGAGCCACCTCACCGGCCTCCAGCTAGTGTATTTTTAGTAGAAACAGGGTCTCACTCTTTCGCAGGCTAGTCTCGAACTCCTGAGCTCAAGCCATCCTCCCACCTCAGCCTCCCAGAGTGCTAAGATTACAGACATGAGCCACCATGTACCACTCAGTGGTTCTCAACCTTCCTAATGCCTCCTAATGCCGTGACCCTTTAATACAGTTCCTCAGGTTATAGTGACCCCCAACCATAAAATTATTTTCGTTGCTACTTAATAACTGTAATTTTGCTACTGTTATGAATCATAATGTAAATATCCGATATGCAGGATGTATTTTCATTGTTAGAAAGAGGTTGAGAACCGCTGAGTCCTAGATTCAGATTTTCATTCACTGACAAAATAACACTCATGGTATAATGCTATGTTTCAAAGAAAGCAGAATATAAGATCACATACAAGCTAAATTTTATTTTTAAGTGTATATATGTGTACATGCACATTGATACACACAGGCATATATGTATAATATGCCATATTAGTACTTTTCAGTGGTAAGATGACTAATTTTTATATTAAACTTTTCTATTTTTCCTAAATTTTCTATAATAAACATATTGCTTTCATAATATTTTTAAATCAAGAAAGATTTTTTTAAAAATCAACTAATATTATTTCTAAAAGGAGTTCTAAAACTTGTTTTCTATAATGGATTACTTGCTATCATCCTGGTCATAAGCACTACATTGACATGGCAACTGTATATGCAAAATTGTCTTTTAGTTACAAACCTCAAATGAGCCGTGACTGACAGAAAGCAGAAAATCTACAGATAATGGCATCTCATTAACACTGCCACCAAAAAGGTGCAGAACAGCACATATATTAAGATGAGCTTCTTGTCTTGAAATTTATAAAAGATATTTCTGTAATATATAGAAATTTGTGGGCTGATATATCTATACTTTTTTTCAGTTCAGTATTATAAGAAACTATCAGAAATAGCTGAGTTCAGCACCCATAGCACAGTGGTTATGGCGCCAGGCACAGCATGGAGAGTGGAGGGTTTGAACCCAGCTCGGGCCAGCTAAAAACAACAATGACAACTGCAACAAAAAAATAGCCAGGTGTTGTGGTGGCACCTATAGTCCCAGCTACTTGGGAGGCTGAGGCAAGAGAATCACTTGAGCCCAAGAGTTTGAGGTAGTTGTGAGCCGTGATGCCACAGCACTCTACCCAGGGTGATAGCTTACGGCTCTGTCTCAAAAAAAAAAAGAAAGAAATAGCTACCTTTTTTGGCAGGGGAATAGTTTTGGATCTTTTTATTGTCTGATTTCTGAACAACTTTTTTTTTTTTTTTTTTTTTTGAGACAGAGCCTCAAGCTGTCCCCCGGGGTAGAGTGCCGTGGCATTACAGCTCACAGCAACCTCAAACTCCTGGGCTCAAGCGAGTCTCCTGCCTCCGCCTCCCAAGTAGCTGGGACCACAGGCGCCCGCCACAACGCCTGGCTATTTTTTGGTTGCAGCCATCATTGTTGTTTGGCGGGTCTGGGCTGGGGATTTGAACCCGCCATCTTAGGTGTACGTGGCTGGCGCCTTAGCCGGTTGAGCTATAGGCGCCGAGCCCTGAACAACTTTTATACTACTTTTATACATAGTATTTGATTTTTTTAAAAACATTTTGTTTTATTTGCTGCTTACCATGGAACACTTCTCTAGAACTTCTTCCTGGAACCTCAGAAATCCTTCTTGAACCTCAACCTCATTGAGGAAGAAGGCAAGGAAGTGTGTGAAGGGCTGCTTTCTTCTAAAAGTGTCCAAAAGAACATCAATCCGAGTTCGGGCTGAAATTATACCATTTCGATGCTGGCCAGTGATTACTGCAAGTGAAGAAAAAAGGGTTAATGCGCTCAAGGACCCCCAAATGCTTGTAAAGATGGGTGACTTCTTGATACTGTCATCTCTAGGTAACTAAAAATGTTCTGAATGAGTACATGAATCTGAACAGGGGATGGTGCCAAGTGTATGAAAGCTGTTAATGAGGCTTAACAGAATAAACAGGCTTAAAATAAACTATCCTTAAAACTAGTTTCTGAGATAGAAAAATGAGTTCAGGGGTGGCGCCTGTGGCTCAGTGAGTAGGGCACTGGCCCCGTATACCAAGGATGGCAGGTTCGAACCCAGCCCCAGCCAAACTGCAACAACAACAAAATAAAATAGCTGGGCATTGTGGTGGGCGCCTTTAGTCCCAGCTACTCAGGAGGCTGAGGCAAGAGAATTGCCCAAGCCCAAGAGCTGGAGGTTACTGTGAGCTCTGATGCCACAGCACTCTACTGAGGGGGACAAAGTGAGACTCTGTCTCTAAAAAAAAGAAAAAGAAAAGAGAAATGAGTTCAAAATCTATACAGCAAACCCTCATACATTGCTGGTAGGAATGTAAAATGATATAGACACTTTTGAAAAGTTTGATAGTCCCTTAAAACATTAAATATAGAATTACCCTAGGGCCCAGAAATTCCACTCCTAGGGATACCCAAAATAAGTAAACATAGGTGTTTAAACAAAACTTGAACACAAATGTTCATAGCAGCTCTATTCATAATAACCAAAACATAGGAACAATCCAAATGTCCATCAACTGACGAAAAAATCAACAAAAGAGGATATATTCATAAGAAGGAGTATTATTCAGCAAAACAGAGAAATGGCTGATACCTGAAACAACGTGGATGAACCTTGAAAACACCATGCTGAGTGAAAACTAGATACAAGAAGTTACATATTATATGTGTCCATTTACAGAAAATATCCAGAACAAGCAAATCCACAGAGATAGAAAGCAGATTAGTGATAGTCAGGGGGCAGGAATAGGGAAGAATAGGGAGTGATTATTTAATAGGTATGGAATTTCCTTTACGGATGACAAAATGTTCTGGAAATAGATAGTGGTGATGGTACCACAACACTGTGAATGTACTAAATGCCAGTGAACTTTTTTTTTGAGACAGAGCCTCACTGTCACCCTGGGTGGAATGCCATGGTATCATCATAGCTCACAGCAACCTCCTGGGCTCAAGAGCTCCTCTTACCTCAGCCTCCCCAGTAGCTGGGACTACAGGTGTATACCACTACACCTAGTTGGTTTTTCTATTTTTAGTAGAGATGGAGTCTTAGTCTTGTTCAGGCTGGTCTCAAAACTCCTGAACTCAAGCAATCTACTCATCTTGGCCTCCCAGAGTGCTAGAATTATAGGCATGAACCACCATGTCCAACCTGAACTTAACCTTTTTAAATGGTGAATTTTATGTTACATTTAACCTCAAAAAAAAATAAATAAATAACAAAAAATTAAGGGCAAAAAAAAAGGAATTTTCTTTTATGTGAATTTTACCTGAATTTTAAAAAATGCCGTGGCAGGCTTAGCATTGGTAACACAATGATTATGGCACCAGCCATATACACTGATGGTGGAGGGTTCAAACCTGGTCCAGGCCAGCTAAACAACAATGAAATCTGTAACAAAAAACAGCCAAGCATTGTGGTAGGCACCTGTTGTCCCAAGCTACTTGGGAAGTCGAGGCAAGAGAATTGCTTAAGCCCAAGAGTTTGAGATTGCTGTGAGCTATGACACCATGGTACTCTACCAAGGGTGACAAAGTGAGACTCTGTCTCAAAAAAAAAAAATACTATGGCAAAAATTATTAGTGGCTTAGCACCTGTAGCTCAGTGGTTAGGGCACCAGCCACATGCACCAGGGCTGGTGGGTTTGAACCCAGCCAGGGCCTGCTAAAACAACAATGACAACAACAATGACAACAACAACAACAACAACAACAAATAGCCAGGCGTTGTGGCAGGCACCTGTTGTCCCAGCTGATTGGGAGACTGAGGCAAGAGAATCACTTAAGCCCAGGAGTTTGAGGTTGCTGTGAGCTGTGATGCCACCCCAGGAGTTTTAGGTTGCCGTGAGCTATGATGCCATAGCACTCTAC